AGTACCCATCGGAATCTTGCGGAACGAGATTCGGACCGAGGTGAGGGTAGGTACCCATCAGAGCCTTGCGGAACGAGATTCGGACCGGGTGGGGGTAGGTACCCATCGAGCCTTGCGGAGACGGGGTTCGGACCAGGTGGGGGTAAGTACCCATCGAGCCTTGCGGAACGGGGTTCGGACCAGGTGGGGGTAGGTACCCATCGAGCCTTGCGGAACGGGGTTCGGACCGGGTGGGGGTAGGTACCCATCGGAATCTTGCGAACGAGATTCGGACCGGGTGGGGGTAGGTACCCATCGAGCCTTGCGGAACGGGGTTCGGACCGGGTGGGGGTAAGTACCCATCGAATCTAGCGAACGAGATTCGGACCGGGTGGGGGTAGGTACCCATCGAGCCTTGCGGAACGGGGTTCGGACCGGGTGGGGGTAAGTACCCATCGAGCCTTGCGGAACAAGGTTCGGACCGGGTGGGGGTAAGTACCCATCGAATCTTGCGAACGAGATTGGGACCAAGTGGGGGTAGGTACCCACAAAAGTCTAGTAAAATACGGACTTATACTCGGGTGAGGGTAAGTACTCACCGGAACTTTATAAAAGGAGTCTCAAACCGGATAGGGGTTGGTACCTATCAAAATATTTATCATCCGAGAGGATCGGCGAAAGGAGCGACATCCAGAAGGATGACCAAGAGCAAAGGGTTAACTCCTTCCCCTACCTACTAATTTTGTCGGCATATCCAGTAGACCAATTAGCTAGGCGAGGTGAAGGGGGCGAGATGTAGACCCCTAATTTTGCCGGTTTCTCAAATAAAGACAAAAAGATCATCCATAACAAGATAAAGCTCGTCTAGCATTACAAATAAGAGCCAAGAAGACTTCCTGTATGAAGATAAAGCTTCAACGAGACACATATCGACATCAAGCGACGTCCGAAACGAGGAAAAGAAAGCTTCACGGGGGTCCCAAAACGCGAAGGCGAGGCCAAAACGGGTTGGGACAGCCGTCCCAAGCTGGGACGGCCATCCCAAGCACAACGAGCCGTCCCAAACACAACAGGTCGTCCCAAACACAACAGGCAGTCCCAAACACAACAGGCCGTCCCAAACACAACGAGGCCATCCCAAACACAACAGGCAGTCCCAAACACAACAGGCCGTCCCAAACACAACGAGGCCATCCCAAACACAACAGGCCATCCCAAACACAACAGGCCGTCCCAAACACAACAGGCCGTCCCAAACACAACAGGCGTCCCAAACACAACAGGTCGTCCCAACCTGCCAAATTCAAGTGGGACGCGCGTCCCGGTTCCCAGGTGGTCTCACCCTGTGTAAAATTGCCATTTGGGACGGCCATCCCAGTCCAGACGGTCGTCCCAACCCAGACGGCCGTCCCAAAGTGCGCCAGCTGCGAAAACTATAAATAGGAGGCTCATTTGCCACTTTTTGAGGACACAGACACTCCAGAGAGCTCTGAAACACCTAAAAAACTCAGAGCACTTGTCTACTTCTCTCCCTCTCTCGAATGATCTTTCCGATTGCCTTAAATAGGTAACAATCGGTTAAGGAATTATATTCCGGCATTTGATTCTTCTTTAAATTTTTAGTGGAGTCGATCTTGTATTGGTGAGGAGAGTCTGTATAGAGAGAGAGGTTGCCAAAACGCATCCTCACAGTTCGAGACTTCTTTTCAATTCTCTTCTCTTTTATTGTTTTATTGTTTTATTTATTGTTTTATTTAGCTTTATTACGTCATGTAGAATAGAATCATGTAGATAGTCATTTTAATATCTCTTTTATTGCTTTATTTAGCTTTATTTATATAAAATTATGTAGATAGTCATTTCAATATTATGCAACAAAATAGGGTAATCGCGTAATTTCTCGAAGTCTTCTCTTTAAACGAATTGATCTGTCATAGGGAACTCGAAAGGGGCGTTGTGGGGTGCTAACACCTTCCCCATGCGTAACTAACTCCCTTACCCAACTCTGGTTATAATGGCCAAGTTTGGTTTTCATTAAAATCAATGCCTTTTATCCTTTTCCAATGTTTATGGTCAAAACATTGGTGGCGACTCCATAAGAACCCCTTTTCGAAAACCTTGCTTTTATTAGAGGATAATTCAATTGTCGGACACCTCGGAAGCAATGAATACATTTTAAAACAAATACGCGAGTCTAAACCATCTTTTCGCGACCGCTCGCATAAACGTTCGAGACGTCCTCCAACGTCGGAAAGGGACGACGGCGACAAGGGATTTTTGAAAAACTCCTTAAAGGATCAGGAAATACGCCCATATGGCTTGATGCATAGAAATGAGTAATACCCCACACGTATAGTAGTGAAGTGCAACATCTAAGTGTTTTTCCCTGTTTCTGTCGACAGAATTCTACTGAAAGCAGGGTGTCAGCAAGGATTGCAGGTATAGGACTCTTCGAGTATACATCCCAAGCAAAGAATGCGTCCATTGCAGCATGATCTACGATGTTCACATGGAATGGGAACAATATGATTTCGAACATTGCTAATGCTAGAGTTTTATTGAATGTAGACCAGTCCTTCTTTTCAGCCAAAGAGACTAAATGGTCTTCTATTATAGCCATTTTCCAACCTCGGATATTCCCTTTCCCCTCTAGGGTGGATTGATGAGGAGGCAGTCATATAATAGTAGCAACCTTACTTACGACCGTATATACTCCTGAGCAAACGTAGACCCCAACTGACTGAGGCCATCTAACCATGAGTTCGTATTCTTCCAAGGTTGGTACTAAATCAAACTGTGAGAACTCGAAGCAGTGTAAATTGGGACTCCAGAAGTGAAAATGTATGATATGAGGATGAGTTTTTGTAAATGCATGCATGTAAGTGTTTGTTTTTCTAAGTATTATCATGTTTTATTCCTAATATGATGCATGATAGTACTTGGTTTTTCTTGAAAAGAAAACTTATCTATATGAATGTTTATGGATTTTAATGAAGAGAGTCCTATTTTCTTCTCTTTTATTTTTATGAACAAAAGGTGGTATGAATTGTAAGGCTTTTTGCTAAGAATTTTTATTTTGTAACAAAGGTATTTTTATGACTTTAATTTGTTTTCATATTTTGTATGACCTTTTATCTCTTCTGTCGGTCAACGTGGCTACTTAGCTTACAAAGAACCTGAAACCATGCTAGCTTAACTGAAGACTGTCCGAGATAAAGGTGATTATCTTATCACTTTTTAATTTTTAGGGTTTATCATTTTTGTTTTTTGTATGATTACCCTATGCTAATGCATCAATACAAATGCAGCAAACGAATGCACACACAATTCATTCACCCACGAGCAGAGCCACGCTTATTTAATCACGAGGTAGGGTTTTCCTGCAGAAACGTGTTTGGTTTGGGTGGTTCTAACTGCTCCCACCAAGGCCAAAGGTCCCCAAGGTGCCCCCATTATAGGGACCTCTCAATCTCTCAGTCCTCGGGTCATGCACGGAACTCCGTGTCGACATCCTTAGACCAAAAGAAGAGAGTTATCACCTTGAGTTGGTGGTTTCCGACAATGGTTGTAGCCCCGTGTGCCAACAAGTCGGTTGTATCTGCCACCCACTCCCTATAGGTATTCACTCTTGCCCCCGGGTATAGAGGGACTGTTGTGTGCAAGGGTTTTTGTGTGCAATTTATATTTCAGACAATTTGCAGAAATAATCATACAGCAGTTATTAAAGCCATACAATAAAACATACGGAAAAGGGTAAAGGCGTAATTTCAAATCTTTACTTAGTTTGAATTTATCCGTCACTAAATGGGATCAACTCTCTAGCTTCCCCAGTGGAGTCCCCATCTGTCGCCGCCGTCCGTTCCGACGTCCTGGGACATCTCGAACGTTAATGCGAGCGGTCGCGAAAAGATGGTTGAGACTCGCGTTTTTTGTTTAAAGTGTGTTCATTGCTTCCGAGGCGCTCAATGCTGAACTATCCTCTAATAGAAGCAAGGTTTTCGAAAAGGGTTCTTCTGGAGTCGCCACCAATGTTTTGACCATAAACATTGGAAAAGGAGAAAAAGGCATTGATTTTAATAAAAACCAAACTTGGCCATTATAACCAGAGTTGGGTAAGGGAGTTAGTTACGTGTGGGGAAGGTATTAGCACCCCACAACGCCCCTTTCGGGTTCCCTATGATGCATTAATTCATTTAAGTAAAGATTACAAGAAATTACGCTATTACCCTATTTTATTCGTTAAATATGGCTATCTACATGGTTTTATCTACATTGCATACAGAAAGCAGTAAATAAAGCAATAAAAGGGAAGAGAATTGAGAAGAACCTCCGAAGCAAGCTTTATATTATAAGTCTTTTATACAGAGGACGCTTTGCGGCAATCCTTCAATCTACAACGACTCTTCTCTCGAATAAACTCGACTCGACTAAAATTTTCTAGAAGAATCGAATGCCGGAATACAAATTCCTTAACTGATTGTTACCTATTAAAGGCAATCAGAGAGATCATTCGAAGGAGGGAGAGAAGAAGACAAGTCTTGGAGTTGTCTGGGGTGTGGAACAGTGCCAAATGAGCTTCCAATTTATAGTTTTCGCTGCCTGCACCGTTGGGACGTGCGTCTGGAATGGGACGGCCGTCTGGGTTGGGATGGTCGTCCCAAATGCCATATTTACACTGACTGAGACCACTTGGGGAGCTGGGACTGGCAGTTTCGTTTGGGACGACCGTCCCACTTGGCCAGGGAAGGTTGGGACGGTCGTCTCGACCTTGGGACGGCCGTCTCGACCTGTTTTGGTCAGCTTTCGTGTTCTGGGACCCCCGGGAAGCTTTCCCTTGTGTATTCGGACGTCGTTTGATGCCGATAAACGCCCGTAGAAGCTTTATCTTCATATAGGAAGTCTTCTTGGCCTTTTATAGAGATGGCAGGCGAGCCTTGTCTTTGTTATAGGAAGTCTTTTTAGCCTTTATTGAGAGACCGTCTGAACTCCGAATTTGTTGTAGGAGGTCTCCTTGGTTTTTATTAAGAAGCCGGGCAAACTTTATCTTCTTGTGAAGTTTTCCTAGCTTTTATTGAGAGGCCGGGCAAAATTAGGGGTCTACAACCCTTAACTTCTTCTCCATCCAAAACTTCTTCTTCTTCTTCCTTAACCTCCTCTCCTTCCTTCACTTCTTCCCCATCCCAAACTATTTCTCCATCCTTAACTTCTTCTCCTTCCCTAACTTGTTCTTCAATCTTAACCTTTTCTCCTTCCCTAACTTCTTCTCCATCCTCCTTAACTTCTTCTGCTTCCTTAACTTCATTCTACATCCCAAGTTTCTTCTCCATCCTTACCTATAATCTCCTATCCTATCCATCCAAAAGTTCTTCTTCTCCTTCCTCAACTTCTTCTTCCTTCATTTCTTCTCCATACTTAGTAGATTCTTCTGTATCCCAAACTTCTTCCCCATCCATACTTTCTTATTTATTCATAACTTCTTCTCCATCAAAAACTTCTTCTTCCTTAAATTCTTCTCCTTCCTAAACTTCTTCTTCCTTAATTTCTTCTCCATACTTCGATTCTTCTCCTCCATCCCAAACTTCTTCTCCATCCTTAACTTCTTCTCCATCCCAAACTTCTTCTCTTTCCCTAACTTCTTCTCCTTCCTTAGTTTCTTCTCCTTCCTTAACATCTTCTCCGTCCATAACTTCTTCTTCTCCATCCTTACTTTCTTCTTCATCATCCTTAATTTCTTCTCCTTCCTTAACTTGTTCTCCATCCATGATAATTTCTCCCTACTTAACTTCTTCTCCATCCCAAACTTCTTCCGCATCCATACTTTCTTCTTTACCCTTAACTTCTTCTCCATCCAAAACTTCTTCTTCTTTTTCCTTAACCTCTTCTCCTTCCTTTACTTCTTCCCCATCCCAAACTATTTCTCTATCCTTAACTTATTCTCCTTCCCTAACTTGTTCTTAATTCTTAACCTTTTCTCCTTCCCTAGCTTCTTCTCCATCCTCCTTAACTTCTTCTGCTTTCTTAACTTCATTCTACATCCCAAGTTTCTTCTCCATCTTTAACTATAATCTCCTATCCTATCCATCCAAAAGTTCTTCTCCTTCCTTAACTTCTTCTTCGTTCATTTCTTCTCCATACTTAGTAGATTCTTCCCCATCCCAAACTTCTTCCCCATCCATACTTTCTTCATTATCCATAACTTCTTCTCCATCCAAAACTTCTTCTTCCTTAAATTCTTCTCCTTCCTAAACTTCTTCTTCCTTAACTTCTTCTCCATCCATGATCATTTCTCCCTGCTTAACTTCTTCTCCATCCCAAACTTCTTCCCCATCCATACTTTCTTCTTTACCCTTAACTTCTTCTCCATCCAAAACTTAACTTCTTCTTCTTCTTCCTTAACCTCTTCTCCTTCCTTCACTTCTTCTCCATCCAAAACTTCTTCTTCCTTAACTTCTTCTCTCCTTCCTAAATTTCTTCGTCCCTAATTTCTTCTCCATACTTCGATTCTTCTCCTCCATCCCAAACTTCTTCTACATCCTTAACTTCTTCTCCATCCCAAACTTCTTCTCTTTCCCTAACTTCTTCTACTTCCTTAGTTTCTTCTTCATCCTTACTTTCTTCTTCATCATCCTTAATTTCTTCTCCTTCCTTAACTTCTTCTCCATCCACGATCATTTGTCCCTCCTTAACTTCTTCTCCATCCCAAACTTCTTCCCCATCCATACTTTCTTCTTTACCCTTAACTTCTTCTCCATCCAAAACTTAACTTCTTCTTCCTCTTCCTTAACCTCTTCTCCTTCCTTCACTTCTTCCCCATCCCAAACTATTTTTCCATCCCTAACTTCTTCTCCTTCCCTAACTTGTTCTTCATTCTTAACCTTTTCTCCTTCCCTAACTTCTTCTCCGTCCTCCTTAACTTCTTCTGCTTCCTTAACTTCATTCTACATCCCAAGTTTCTTCTCCATCCTTAACTATAATCCTATCCATCCAAAAGTTATTTTCCTTCCTTAAATTCTTCTTCCTTCATTTCTTCTCCATACTTAGTAGATTCTTCTGCATCCCAAACTTCTTCCCCATTCATACTTTCTTCTTTATCCATAAGTTTTTCTCCATCCAAAACTTCTTCTTCCTTAAATTCTTCTCCTTCCTGAACTTCTTCGTCCTTAATTTCTTCTCCATACTTCGATTCTTCTCCTCCATCCCAAACTTCTTCTACATCCTTCACTTCTTCTCCATCCCAAACTTCTTCTCTTTCCCTAACTTCTTCTCCTTCCTTAGTTTCTTCTCCATCCTTACTTTCTTCTTCATCATGCTTAATTTCTTCTCCTTCCTTAACTTCTTCTCCATCCATGATCATTTCTCCCTCCTTAACTTCTTCTCCATCCCAAACTTCTTCCCCATCCATACTTTCTTCTTTACCCTTAACTTCTTCTCTATCCAAAACTTCTTCTTCTTCCTCTTCCTTAACCTCTTCTCCTTCCTTCACTTCTTCCCCATCCCAAACTATTTCTCCATCCTTAACTTCTTCTCCTTCCCTAACTTGTTCTTCATTCTTAACCTTTTCTCCTTCCCTAACTTCTTCTCCATCCTCCTTAACTTCTTATGCTTCCTTAACTTCATTCTACATCCCAAGTTTCTTCTCCATCCTTACCTATAATCTCCTATCCTATCCATCCAAAAGTTCTTCTTCTCCTTCCTTAACTTCATCTTCCTTCATTTCTTCTCCATAGTTAATAGATTCTTCTGGATCCCAAACTTCTTCCCCATCCATACTTTCTTCTTTATTCATAACTTCTTCTCCATCCCAAACTTCTTCTTCATGAAATTCTTCTCCTTCCTAAACTTCTTCTTCCTTAATTTCTTCTCCACACTTCGATTCTTCTCCTCCATCCCAAACTTCTTCTCCATCCTTAACTTCTTCTCCATCCCAAACTTCTTCTCTTTCCCTAACTTCTTCTCCTTCCTTAGTTTCTTCTCCTTCCTTAACATCTTCTCCGTCCATAACTTGTTCTTCTCCATCCTTACTTTCTTCCTCATCATCCCTAATTTCTTCTCCTTCCTTAACTTCTTCTCCATCCATGTTCATATCTCCCTCCTTAACTTCTTCTCCATCCAAAACTTCTTCCCCATCCATACATTCTTCTTTACCCTTAACTTCTTCTCCATCCAAAACTTCTTCGTCTTCTTCCTTAACCTCTTCTCCTTCCTTCACTTCTTCCCCATCCCAAACTATTTCTCCATCCTTAACTTCTTCTCCTTCCCTAACTTGTTCTTCATTCTTAAGCTTTTCTCCTTCCCTAACTTCTTCTCCATCCTCCTTAACTTCTTCTGCTTCCTTAACTTCATTCTACATCCCAAGTTTCTTATCCATCCTTAACTATAATATCCTACCCTATCCATACAAAAGTTATTCTCCTTCCTTAACTTCTTCTTCCTTCATTTCTTCTCCATACATAGTAGATTCTTTTCCATTCCAATCTTCTTCATCCTTAACTTCTTCTCCATCCAAAACATCTTCTTCCTTCACTTCTTCTCCTTCCTAAACTTCTTCTTCCTTAATTTGTTCTCCATACTTCAATTCCTCTCCTCCATTCCAAACTTCTCCTCCATCCCAAACTTCTTCTCTTTCCCTAACTTCTTCTCCATCCTTAGTTTCTTCTCCTTCCTTAACATCTTCTCCGTCCATAACTTCTTCTTCTCCATCCTTACTTTCTTCCTCATCATCCCTAATTTCTTCTCCTTCCTTAACTTCTTCTCCATCCATGATTATTTCTCCCTCCTTAACTTCTTCTCCATCCCAAACTTCTTCCCCATCCATACTTTCTTCTTTACCCTTAACTTCTTCTCCATCCAAAACTTCTTCTTCTTCTTCCTTAACCTCTTCTCCTTCCTTCACTTCTTCCCCACCCCAAACAATTTCTCCATCCTTAATTTCTTCTCCTTCCCTAACTTGTTCTTCATTCTTAACCTTTTCTCCTTCCCTAACTTCTTCTCCATCCTCCTTAACTCCTTCTGCTTCCTTAACTTCATTCTGCATCCCAAGTTTCTTCTCCATGATTAACTATAATCTCCTATCCTATCCATCCAAAAGTTCTTCTCCTTCCTTAACTTCTTCTTCCTTCATTTCTTCTCCATACTTAGTAGATTCTTCTCCATCCCAAACTTCTTCCCCATCCATACTTTCTTCTTTATCCTTAACTTCATCTCCATCCAAAACTTCTTCTTCCTTAACTTCTTCTCCTTCCGAAACTTCTTCTTCCATAATTTCTTCTCCATACTTCGATTCTTCTCCTCCATTGCAAACTTCTCCTCCATCCCAAACTTCTTCTCCATCCCAAACTTCTTCTCTTTCCCTAACTTCTTCTCCTTCCTTAGTTTCTTCTCCTTCCTTAACATCTTCTCCATCCATAACTTCTTCTTCTCCATCCTTACTTTCTTCCTCATCATCCCTAATTTCTTCTCCTTCCTTAACTTCTTCTCCATCCATGATCATTTCTCCCTCCTTAACTTCTTCTCCATCCCAAACTTCTTCCCCATCCATACTTTCTTCTTTACCCATTCTACATCCCAAGTTTCTTCTCCATCCTTAACTATAATCTCCTATCCTATCCATCCAAAAGTTCTTCTCCTTCCTTAACTTCTTCTTCCTTCATTTCTTCTCCATACTTAGTAGATTCTTCTCCATCCCAAACTTCTTCCCCATCCATACTTTCTTCTTTATCCTTAACTTCTTCTCCATCCAAAAGTTCTTCTTCCTTAACTTCTCCTCCTTCCTAAACTTCTTCTTCCTTAATTTCTTCTCCATACTTCGATTCTTCTCCTCCATCCCAAACTTCTTCTCCATCCTTAACTTCTTCTCCATCCCAAACTTCTTCTCTTTCCCTAACTTCTTCTCCTTCCTTAGTCTCTTCTCCTTCCTTAACATCTTCTCCGTCCATAACTTCTTCTTCTCCATCCTTACTTTCTTCTTCATCATCCTTAATTTCTTCTCCTTCCTTAACTTCTGCTCCATGCCAAACTTTTTCCCCATCCATACTTTCTTCTTTACCCTTAACTTCTTCTTCTTCTTCCTTAACCTCTTCTCCTTCCTTCACTTCTTCCCCATCCCAAACTATTTCTCCATCCTTAACTTCTTCTCCTTCCCTTACTTCTTCTCCATCCTCCTTAACTTCTTCTGCTTCCTTAACTTTATTCTACATCCCAAGTTTCTTCTTCATCCTTAGCTATAATCTCCTATCCTATCCATCCAAAAGTTCTTCTCCTTCCTTAACTTCTTCTTCCTTCATTTCTTCTCCATACTTAGGAGATTCTTCTCCATCCCAAACTTCTTCCCCATCCATACTTTCTTCTTTATCCTTAACTTCTTCTCCATCCAAAACTTCTTGTTCCTTAACTTCTTCTCCTTCCTAAACTTCTTCTTCCTTCATTTCTTCTCCATTCTTCGATTCTTCTCCTCCATTCCAAACTTCTCCTCCATCCCAAACTTCTTCTCCATCCTTAACTTCTTCTCCATCCCAAACTTCTTCGCTTTCCCTAACTTCTTCTCCTTCCTTAGTTTCTTCTCCTTCCTTAACATCTTCTCCATCCATAACTTCTTCTTCTCCATCCTTACTTTCTTCCTCATCATCCCTAATTTCTTATCCTTCCTTAACTTCTTTTCCATCCATGATCATTTCTCCCTGCTTAACTTCTTCTCCATCCCAAACTTCTTCCCCATCCATACTTTCTTCTTTACCCTTAACTTCTTCTCCAACCTCCTTAACTTCTTCTGCATCCTTAACTTCACTCTACATCCCAAGTTTCTTCTCCATCCTTAACTATAAACTCCTATCCTATCCATCCAAAAGTTCTTCTCCTTCCTTTTCTTCTTCTTCCTTCATTTCTTCTCCATACTTAGTAGATTCTTCTCCATCCCAAACTTCTTCCCCATCCATACTTTCTTCTTTATCAATAACTTCTTCACCATCCAAAACTTCTTCTTCCTTAACTTCTCCTCCTTCCTAAACTTCTTCTTCCTTAATTTCTTCTCCATACTTCGATTCTTCTCCTCCATCCCAAACTTCTTCTCCATCCTTAACTTTTCTCCATCCCAAACTTTTTCTCTTTCCCTAACTTCTTCTCCTTCCTTAGTCTCTTCTCCTTCCTTAACATCTTCTCCGTCCATAACTTCTTCTTCTCCATCCTTACTTTCTTCTTCATCATCCTTAATTTCTTCTTGTCGCCGCCGTCCCTTTTCGACGTCGAAGGATGTCTGGAAACGTTTATGCGAGCGGTCGCGAAAAGATGGTTTAGACTCATGTATTTGTTTTAAAATGTGTTCATTGCTTCCGAGGTGTTTGACAATTGAATTATCCTCTAATAAAAGCAAGGTTTTCGAAAAGGGGTTCTTATGGAGTCGCCACCAATATTTTGACCAGAAACATTGGAAAAGGAAAAACAAAGGCGTTGATTTTATATAAAAAAACAACTTGGCCGTTGTAGACCCCTAATTTTGCCCGGCCTCCCAAAATAAAAGCTAGAGGAACTTCACCCAAAGATGGAGTTCATCCGGCTTCCCAAAAACGATAATGACCTCCTGCAACAAGACGGAGCTCACCCATTCACACAATAAAGACTAAAGAGACTTCCTACACAAAGATAAAGCTCGCCCCGCATCTTAGTAAAGGCCAAGAAGACTTCCTATGTGAAGATAAAGCTTCAATGGACACACATCGGCATCAATCTACGTCCGAAAACGGCAAGGAAAGCTTCCCGGGGTCCCAAAATGCGAAGACTGGACAAAACAGGCCGAGACCACCGTCCCACAGTTGGGACGGCCGTCCCAACGGCCATTTTACAAGTGGGACGCGCGTCCCAAACTTGGGACGGCCGTCCCAAACCCCAGGGGGTCTCAGCCTTCGTTAAAATGCCATTTGGGACGGCCGTCCCAATCCAGACGACCGTCCCAACCCAGACGGGCGTCCCAAAGTGCGCCAGCTGCGAAAAACTATAAATAGGAGGTTCATTTGCCACTTTTTCACACCACAGACACTCCAGAGAACTCTGAAACACTTTAGAGCACTTGTCTACTTCTCTCCCTGTCTCGAATGATCTTTCCGATTGCCTTAAATAGGTAACAATCGGTTAAGGAATTATATTCCGGCATTTGATTCTTCTTTAAATTTTTAGTAGAGTCGATCTTGTATTGGTGAGGAGAGACTGTGTAGAGAGAGGGGTTGCCAAAACGCATCCTCACAGTTCGAGATTCTCAATATAAAGCTTGCTACGGAGGTTCTTTTCAATTCCCTTCTCTTTTATTGTTTTATTTATTGTTTTATTGTTTTATTTAGCTTTATTATGTCATGTAGAATAGGATCATGTAGATAGCTATTTTAATATCTCTTTTATTGCTTTATTTAGCTTTATTCATCATTTTATGCATGCAACATAGAATAAAATCATGTAGATAACCATTTAATATTATGTAATAAAATAGGGTAATCGCGTAATTTCTCGTAGTCTTTACTTAAATGAATTAATCTGTCATAGGGAACCCGAAAGGGCGTTGTGGGGTGCTAACACCTTCCCCACACGTAACTAACTCCCTTACCCAACTCACGGTTATAATGGCCAAGTGCGGTTTTTCTTAAAATCAACATTTTTTTCCTTTTCCAATGTTTATGGTCAAAACATTGGTGGCGACTCCATAAGAACCCCTTTTCGAAAACCTTTTAAAACAAAAACGCGAGTCTACACCATCTTTTCGCGACCGCTCGCACAAACGTTTCAAGACGTCCCCCCGGACGTCGGAAAGGGACGGCGGCGACAGCCGTTATAACCAGAGTTGGGTAAGGGAGTTAGTTACGTGTGGGGAAGGTGTTAGCACCCCACAACGCCCCTTTCGGGTTCCCTATGACGGATTAATTCATTAAGTGAAGATTATGAGAAATTACGCGATTACCCTATTTTATTGCATAATATTGAAATGACTATCTACATAATTTTATATAAATAAAGCTAAATAAAGCAATAAAAGAGATATTAAAATGGCTATCTACATCATTTTATTCTACATGACATAATAAATAAAATAAAACAATAAATAAAGCAATAAAAGAGAAGGGAATTGAAAAGAACCTCCGTAGCAAGCTTTATATTGAGAATCTCGAACTATGAGGCTGCGTTTTGGCAACCCCTCTCTCTATACAGACTCTCCTCACCAATACAAGATCGACTCCACTAAAAATTTAAAGAAGAATCAAATGCCGGAATATAATTCCTTAACCGATTGTTACCTATTTAAGGCAATCGGAAAGATCATTCGAGAGAGGGAGAGAAGTAGACAAGTGCTCTGAGTGTTTCAGAACTCTTCTGGAGTGTCCGTGGTGTGAAAAAGTGGCAAATGAGCCTCCTATTTATAGTTTTTCGCAGCTGGCGCACTTTGGGACGGCCGTCTGGGTTGGGACGGCCGTCTGGACTGGGATGGTCGTCCCAAATGGCAAATTTACACAGAGCGGGACCACCAGGGAAGCCGGAACGGCCGTCCCACTTAAATTGGGTTTGGGACGGCCGTCCCACATTCGGGACGCGCGTCCTAACTGTAAAATGGCAGTTGGGATGACCGTCCCACTTCTGGGACCGTGGTCTCGGCCTGTTTTGTCCAGTCTTCGCGTTCTGGGACCCCGGGAAGCTTTCCTTGCCGTTTTCGGACGTAGATTGATGCCGATGTGTGTCCATTGAAGCTTTATCTTCATATAGGAAGTCTTCTTGGCCTTCATTAAGATGCCGGGCGAACTTTGTCTTTGTGTAGGAAGTCTCTTTTGGCTTTTATTGTGTGAATGAGTGAACTCCGTCTTCTGTTGTGGGAGGTCCTTCTCGGTTTTGGGAAGCCGGATGAACTCCATCTTTGGGTGAAATTCCTCTAGCTTTTATTTTGAGAGGCCGGGCAAAATTAGGGGTCTACACTTCTCCTTCCTTAAGTTCATCTCCATCCATGATCATTTCTCCCTCCTTAACTTCTTCTCCATCCCAAACTTTTTCCCGATCCATACTTTCTTCTTTACCCTTAACTTCTTCTCCATCCAAAACTTCTTCTTCTTCTTCTTCCTTAACCTCTTCTCCTTCCTTCACTTCTTCCCCATCCCAAACTATTTCTCCATCCTTAACTTTTTCTCCTTCCCTAACTTCTTCTCCATCCTCCTTAACTTCTTCTGCTTCCTTAACTTCATTCTACATCCCAAGTTTCTTCTCCATCCTTAGCTATAAGCTCCTATCTTATCCATCCAAAAGTTCTTCTCCTTCCTTGTCGCTGCCGTCCGTTCCGACGTCCTGGGACATCTAGAACGTTAATGCGAGCGGTCGTGAAAAGATGGTTGAGACTCGCGTTTTTTGTTAAAAATATGTTCATTGCTTCCGAGGCGCTCAACGCTAAACTATCCTCTAATAGAAACAAGGTTTTCGAAAAACGTTCTTTTGGAGTCGCCACCAATGTTTTGACCATAAACATTGGAAAAGGAAAAAAGGCATTGATTTTAATAAAAACCAAACTTGGCCATTATAACCAGAGTCGGGTAAGGGAGTTAGTTACGTGTGGGGAAGGTATTAGCACCCCACAACGCCCCTTTCGGGTTCCCTATGACGGATTAATTCATTTAAGTAAAGATTACAAGAAATTACGCTATTACCCTATTTTATTCGTACAGTATTTAAATATGGCTATCTACATGATTTTATCTACATTGCATACACAAAGCAGTAAATAAAGCAATAAAAGGGAAGAGAATTAAGAAGAACCTCTGAAGCAAGCTTTATATTATAAGTCTTTTATAAAGAGGATGCTTTGCGGCAATCCTTCGCTCTACAATGACTCTCCTCTCGAATAAACTCGACTCGACTAAAATTTTCTAGAAGAATCGAATGCCGAAATACAAATTCCTTAACTGATTGTTACCTATTAAAGGCAATCAGAGAGATCATTCGAAGGAGGGAGAGAAGAAGACAAGTCTTGGAGTTGTCTAGGGTCCGGAGAATGACAAATGAGGCTCCTATTTATAGATTTCGCTGCCTGGAAATTTGGGACGGCCGTCTGGGTTGGGACGGCCGTCCCAACTGCAAAATTTGCACTGAGCCAAGCTTGGACGGCCAGTTGGGTTTGGGACGGCCGTCCCATTTGAATTTTGTGGCTTGGGACGTGCGTCCCAAAGGTGAGACGTGCGTCCCAAAGGTGAGACATACGTCTCACTTGGCTTTTGGTGTTTGGGACCGCTGTCCCAGTTTGGGACGGCTGTCCCAACCTGTCTTGGCCAGTTTTTGCGTTCTGGGACCCCCGGGAAGCTTTCCTTTCCTTTTTCGGACGTCGTTTGATGCCGATGTGTGTCCGTTGAAGCTTTATCTTCATATAGGAAGTCTTCTTGGCCTTCATTAAGATGCCGGGCGAGCTTTATCTTCGTGTAGGAAGTCTCTTTAGTCTTCATTGTGTGGATGGGTGAACTCCGTCTTGTTGCGGGAGGTCTTTCTCGGTTTTTCTTTGATATGAAGCTGGGTGAACTGTATGAAGTTTCCCTAGCTTTTATTTTGAGAGGCCGGGCAAAATTAGGGGTCTACAGCTGCCCCCCCTTCACCTGCCTAGCTAATTTGTCGGCTTGATATGCCGACAAAATTAGTTGGTAAGGGAAGGAGTTAACCCTTTTGCCCGGTCATCCTTCGGATGCTGCTCCTTGCTGATCCTCCGGATGATAAATATTTTGATAGGTACCAACCCCTATCTGGTTTGAGCATCCTTTTATAAGGTTCTGGTGAGTATTTACCCTCACCAGGTATAAGTCTGTATTTTACTAGACTTTTGTGGGTACTTACCCCCACTAGGTATAAACCTTGTTTTGCAAGGCTTTGGTGAGTACCTATCCTCACCCGGTATGAGTTCGCATTTTGCTAAACTCTTGTGGGTACTTATTTCCGAGGTGCTTAACACTGAACTATCCTCTAATAGAAGTAAGGTCTTTGCAACCCATTTTTGAAATGCTTAGGTGAGTATTTTTACTCCACCTAATTCATTCTGCTAAGTTTTGATGAGTACCTACCCTCATCCGGTACAAACCTTATTTTTAAGGTTTTGGTGGGTACCTACCCCCACCCGGTGCAAATCTGCATTTTCGCTAGATTCTGATGAGTACTTACCCTCATCCGATCTGAACCTCGTTCTGCAAGATTCTGGTGGGTACCTACCCCCACCTGGTCCGAACCCCGTTCTGCAAGGCTCTGATGGGTACCTACCCCCACCCGGTCCGAACCCCGTTCCGCAAGACTCGATGGGTACCTACCCCCACCCGGTCCGAATCCCGTTCCGCAAGATTCGATGGGTACCTACCCCACCCGGTCCGAACCCCGTTCTGCAAGGCTCGATGGGTACCTACCCCCACCCGGTCCGAACCCGGTTCTGCAAGGCTCCGATGGGTACCTACCCCCACCCGGTCCGAACCCCGTTCCGCAAGGCTCGATGGGTACCTACCCCACCCGGTCCGAACCCCGTTCCGCAAGGCTCGATGGGTACCTACCCCCACCCGGTCCGAACCCCGTTCTGCAAGGCTCCGATGGATACCTACCCCCACCCGGTCCAAACCCCGTTCTGCAAGGCTCGATGGGTACCTACCCCCACCCGGTCCGAACCCCGTTCCGCAAGGCTCCGGTGGGTACCTACCCCCACCCGGTCCGAACCCCGTTCTGCGAGGCTCCGATGGGTACCTACCCCCACCTGGTCCGAATCTCGTTCTACAAAGCTCTGATGGGTACCTACCCCCACCCGGTCTGAACCCCGTTCTGCAATGTTCTCAGGATGCACTTTTTGGTAGTTAATCCTGTGATTATTTGTTTTTTGGAGATATGTTGGCGACTTATTGTTTCTGTTCATGCGCCCATTCCATGGGGAATATTTGATTTAACTTTTTGACTTTTCTTTTAGTCATCCGGTTTTAACGGGGATTCTTTGTTTTTGGCTTTTTCGTTTAGCCATCCGGCTTTGCCAGGGATTTCTGATTTTTGGCTTTTCTGTTTAGCCATCCGGCTTTTGCTGGGGATTCTTTGTTTTTGGCTTTTTCGTTTAGCCATCCGGCTTTGCCGGGGATTTCTGATTTTTGGCTTTTCTGTTTAGCCATCCGGCTTTTGCCGGGGATTCTTGATTTTTGGCTTTTCTGTTTAGCCATCCGGCTTTTGCCGGGGATTCTTGATTTTTGGCTTTTCTCTTTAGCCATCCGGTTTTTGCCAGGGATTTCTGATTTTTGGCTTTTCTGTTTAGCCATCCGGCTTTGCCGGGGATTTTTTGTTGGTTGCCTCTTGTTTTAGGCAGGAATCCTCTGGGGATTTTGAATTCTCTTCTTGATTGTGCCTCTTGATTAGGCGAAGATTCATTTGGGGATTTTGTTGTGCCTCTTGATTAGGCGAATGCTTCAATAATGGTGAAGACTTTGAGGGTTTGGATTGCCTCTTGCATAGGTTGTTTTCCCATTTCTTGGGGATATTAGTTTTTTGCTTGCTTGTTGCAAGTGGAGGCTTTATGCTTTACCATGGATATCCGTCTTTGGGCGTTATGAGCGATTAACTCCCTGTGGATATAATTTTGTAGCTTGCCTTTGTCATAGGCTCACTGGGGTAGTTTTCTTGTTGATGATCCACTGGGGGATTAATTTCATTGCAGAGATCTGTCTTGAATTGTATCTCTAGGGAGAAATGGAGTTTTTCGACTCCTTATTGGCTGCTGTTGTTTGAGCTGGTTTTGCCTAAGCTCTTATTTTGCTGGGGAATGGGTTTTTACCCTTTTCTCGCGATTTCTCTTTTTTGCGGTTTTGGATTTTTGATTTTGGATGCGTGTGCCTTTTTCTTTTGTGCACATAGGCTTTTTATCTTCTGTTGGGGATGAAGAGGTTTTCTTTTCTTCTCTTTCCTTTTTATTGGCCCTGGGGAATTTGTTGGCTTCCTGGGGGTATGATGGAGTTCTGGCTCCTGGCTTTGTGAAGCTCTTATTTGATCTAGAAGATGGAATTTTTGTTTTTTCCTTTTTTTGTGGATGTCGCCGCCTCCCCGAAAATCGGGGACGGTGCGGTCGGAGCGACGCGATGGTTTTTCGACTCTTCTTTGATTTTCGCGTTTTTTATTGGTGGTTACAACGCCTTTAGGTTGTCCGATAACCGGGCTAACCTAGGGGCGAGGTTTTCAAAAGTATCCCTGAGTTGTCCGATAACCGGGCTAACCCAGGGATTTATTTAGTTGGGTTCTATGGAGTCGCCACCGATATTTTTACCATAAACATCGGAAAAGGAGTTTAAAAAAAAGGCATTGGTTTTCGAAAACCAACTTTTGGTCATTAGAACCAGAGTTGGGTAAGGGAGTTAGTTACGTGTAAAGGGAGTATTAGTCCCTTTACGACGCCCTTTCGGGTTCCCTATGATAGGTCTGGCTAATTTGAATAAATAATTAAAGCTGGAAAATAGCGCTTTTACCCTTTTTATTATGCGGAATTTAAATATATGACTACATGGCCCTAGCTTCTATTGCGTAATTTAAATAGCGATAAAAAAGTAGAGAGTGAGGATATGCACCTCAAAGCAAGCTTTATATATTAAAAAGAGAGGGTGCGTTTTGGCGGCCCTTCACTCTACAACTCTCGAAACTCCGGAAATGCCTCGGAGGGATTCTAAAGAAGATTTAGAACACTCGTGTATGCCTAGAGACGCTCGAAACTCGGAAATGCCTCGGAGGGATTCTTAGAGAGAAATTCTAGAGAGAAGGGAGAGCTCTTGCTGCTGGGTGTGTGAAAAGGGAGAAATGACGCCCCTATTTATAGTTTTTCGCACCTGACAGGTCGAGACCGCCGTCTCCACTGACAGGGTCGAGACCGCCATCTGGAAAGTCCAGACCGCCGTCTCGACTTGGCAGCGGGTCGAGACCGCCGTCTGGAAAATCCAGACCGCCGTCTCGACTTGGCAGGAATCGAGACTGCCGTCTGGAAAACCCAGACCGTCGTCTCAAATTTGCGGGTGGCGAGGCCGGCTGTCCGG